AAGATTCTAGAAATAACAGTGGTGGAAAGCTTTCTACTAATTTCTTCCCAGACATCTGATACATAACTAACTGTTTCCCTCTCCCCAGCCCATCCCACACACCTAGGTACTTTTCTGTGGAAAGAAATTTATTTGGGGCATTTCTTATTATATGATCATCCAGAATTGTGTTATTGTACAATGCTTGGTTTGCAGGATTAGGCCACTGAATTATACTGGAATTATTTCCCCTAATAACTACTTTCTGTTAATAGAAAGAGAGAAGTAGGGGGAAGGGAACATGCTCTAAAATACTTGGCACGTTAAAGCGAGACAGAAGCACGGAAGATGTGCTCTGCTTTTCCCACTGTGTATGAACTCATCCTTCATAAGCAACACACCCAACAAATATTTTGCTCCTTAAACATGTTGCCTTCCCTCAATAGTTCCACAGCTTTTTTAAAAAATAAATAAATAACGGTGCTATTTATTGAAATGAGGCATTATGTCTCTCTGCCTGTCTGCCTCTATTTTTACATGCTAATCTTCCTTCCTCACAGGCGTTTTGTCAGGCAGAATCAACAACCAATGACACACTTGCAACAGTCCAGGGAGGTGGTTTAGCCTGAGGAAAAAAGTGACCTGTTTCCCTTAAGAAGCAGCTGACAGCTAGGGTTTCAACTGAGTCCAGAACGCAGTATCTATAGCCCCATAATCTAAGAATTGCAGCGAGTGGACAACTTAGAAGTGAATTCCTGCCTTTAAGAATGTAACCAACATAGGTAGTCTCAACTTATGGCTACAATTGGGACCATGGTTTCGGTTGCCAAACAATGTGTCATTGTTAAATGAGTTGTGTCCAATTTTACGACCTTTGTTATCATAGTTGCTAAATGAATCACTACAAACTCAAGAACACGGACTGAATTCCGCTGCTGTCATAAGTGAATCATGTAGTCATGAAGCAAACTGACTTTGCTTGTCAGAAGCTGGCTGGGAAGGTCAGAAATGGCAATCACGTGACCCTGGGATGCTACAATCATCGTAAATACATGCCAGTTGCCAAGTGCCCAAATTTTGATCACATGACTTTGGGAATACAGCAATGGTTGAAGGTGCAAGGATTGGTTGCAAGTCAATTTTTTTCAGAACAATTGCTAAACGAATGGTTGTAAGATGATTGTTACCTGTACACTATATCTTGGCTTAACCTATATAAGGTTGTTTTTGACTTTTGGAAGATACCCAGGGATGTTTTGATATTGGGTAATCAACTAGCAAACTATTCCTGTAGGTATAAGCACAGGTGTAAAATACACTGGAAAAAGAATTGGAATGACAGTCTGGGTAATGAACCCATTACTCCTTCCTTGACAATTGAATTTCTTGAATTGTTTCTGTTATTTATTACTGCTTTTCTCCTTGTCTTGTTGTTTTAACCTTATGCACTGCCTAGAGTCACTTGAGCTCTTAAGGTGGTTTATACATTGAAAAAAATACTCTTCATGGTTTGTTTGTTTGTTTGTTCATTTGTTTATTCTCTTTGTATGCCATTTGACCTAGAAATAAACTTCTAGTATATACATGTGTGTGTGTGTGTGTGTGTGTGTG